GCTCTCCCAGAGCGTCAAACAAGAGACAGGTTTTCCTAGGAGCGACAAGACAAAGGCTGCTTAGAATTCAGTTTTCTCTAGGGGACAAAATCAAAAGACAAAGAGGCTCAGGTTCGCTAACCAAACTTAGCTAACACTGCGGCGTCGAAGAAAGGTCTGGCATCTGCTTAAGTAGTGGAGGTCCTCTAATGGGCTGACGAGCTCCAGGTGTGCTGGAGGGCTCCAGCCCAGAGGATCCACGGCGCACTCTGCTGGAGAAAGGTGGAACTTCTCCAGATCCCAACAGATATGGCTATTTCAGATAAATAAGCAATGTTTAAATTGAAATACAAGAAAGGCAGAAGCCTCTTCATACAATGATGGGTAAAAACTTGCAGTATCCATTCATGTAAAATTGCCTAATCTCTATTATAATTTAGTACACATCTGTAACTCCTCTGTGCCTACAAAAAGTCTTTTGGAACCATGGTCCAAACCCCACAGGAAGTCTGCCATTTTGGATCAAAGAAGAAACTGAACTTTATGGGGGAAACTGAAATAAACATCATCATCTCATCCCAGAGAGATCCTTAGATTCTCTGTTTCCTCTGTCCAGGATGTACTGCAAAAACGCTGCAGGAAAAGGACTATAAACATTGCCGGAGAGCCTAAAAACTGTCATCTGAATTGCTCCTCTCATCTTTTGTGGAGAATTTAATTCAAATTAGTTCGTTTATATAGAGCTAATTAACATTACATATCATCTCAAAGCTCTACAGACAATTCAGTGGAAGCATACTGACAGATTGGTTCAACGTTTTCCATCTAAGGAAAACCCGCTGATTCCATCCAGTTATTGACGTGCAGGATGCTTTTCCTGGGTGAACAAGTGGTGACAGTACACATTCCTTTGCATTTTGTCATTGACTCTTAGCAATCCGTTACTCCAAGCATGCATGCAGCGACAGTGTAGAGAAAAAAAAACTTTTAACAGGAAGAAACTTCCAGAAGAACCAGGCAGAGGGAGACAGAAGCAGACATGCAAAACAAGCAGAAGCACTGATCTAATAGTGCTTTCTATGTTAGAAAATGTAAAAAGATCAACAAGCTCCATAATAGTGGGAAAAAAATCTATCTCCTATTAATTCCCTTTTACAAATATTTATGTAAATATATATATACATATATATATATATATATATATATATATACAGATACCAGAAGAGTTCTGGTTTTCTATTTGCTTACTGAAAAATATTATCTGAGTGACAGGCGTGTTTGGGACAAGAACTACTTATTCCCATAACAAGCCAGATTCTTCGTCAAGGTTTATTCATAACATGTTACTGTTTGACTTAAGAGTCAGTAGTGTGTTTTGACTCTGACACAACCTTCACTGCATTTGGCCACTCTTTCTAGCCAAAACAGGGCTGAACATCATGCTGTAAGGGCTGTATGTTGTCTTTTTACTTAAGTAAAATAAAATACCAACTGAGTAAAATCCATTGATATCTGTTTATTTAACTGGACTGTATAGTTGAATACTGTTTTCCCACATCACTATGTCAATTAGAGAAACAGTTAAAGAAGACAGGCTTTGAGATGGTTTTCATGTCAAAGAAAAAAGAAAAATATAACTAATTCAGTAAAACCTGTGCCCTTAGCCCATATGTCTAGGAAAGAAACATGACTAAACACTGAAAAAACGGCCAAATTCTATCATGAAGTTATTGACCGTGGCAGCCCAGCTGATGCCCCCTCCAGTACAGTGATACAGCTTAACCTAGAGAGATCATTTAAAGTTAGAAGTTACACTATCAAATTCTGCTCAATTTGAGAAGAGAAGTAGAATGTAATAGAATGATGTAGAGAAATGCAGCAAATGTGACAATTATTGAAAGTTTGTTTCTATTTGGAGAAACTTCTTAGTGTCCCACAATGATAGGCAGAAATATGTCAACATGAAGGCTAGTTCTCTGTGTCACCCAAAAACAGAACATTTTATGAAAGAAAATAATAAATATTAAACCAGGGATTCATCAATAAAATGTTTTTCTTCCTGCACAGTTCTTTGTTCGTTTTTGGGGTGAAACTGGTTTGTAGCTCTAACAAGTGATTAAAACAGTAATTTATCCTCTTTGGTCTACTCTAACTAGAACATTTCACGGCACTAAATGAAAAGGTACAATACATGTAAGGTGAGGACACCTGCTGGTGGACTGCAGCCACAGCAGCGCATTTAATTTCATTAGCATCCATTACAATTGAACTAATGAAGGCTTTAGAAGGAGCAGAGATATGACTGGGACTGAAATACATTAATCTGAATGTATGTAATATACACATTAAATTCTATGTTACATTAAGAATATATTAGCAAATCTAAAAGCTGCTGTAAGGTAGAACTACTTGCAATTTATATAATAAATAAAATCAACTTTATTCATTTTGCTGAAGACTTCTAAAAGCCTTGATAACCAATAAATTACTTGTTCTATTCTTTTATTCTATTGCTGTAATTAGTGTTGCGCCATTTTTTTGGCCCCGATACCGATACCTGGCTGTGCAGTATTGGCCGATACCGATACCATAATAATGTAAAATAATTGCCATCATGGCTTTGTCAAGCTGCTGCCTACCTTTTTGAAGCAGGAAAAAACCTAATACAAAGTGAATCCAGTAGAACTTTTTATTGCCTACCAGGAGTGGGTGACAATAGTTGAATAAACTTATGGCTCTCAAAATCGGTGCCCTATTTGTTGGTACTCGCCAATACCGATTCCACCATTTTAGGGCAGTATCGGGGCCCCGTACAATACTGGTATCGGTATCGGTGCAACACTAGCTGTAATCACCAAAAATACTGTGCTATGCATGAAGCAGAACTTCCTATCTGTTTTTAAACCTCAAAAATAGCAACAACAAAAAAAAAAACCATCAAAACCTCAACAGATAGTAACAAATCTGAAAAACGTACAAGATGCATGCGTTGATGCATGTGATTCTTATAAGCCTCCAAGCAGGAGTGATAGCCAAGTAATTTTCATTGCAAAAATGTGCATCACCATGGTTTATACAAAAATGCACCCGAGAGGACACACACCATATATTCTGTGTCTAAGTGAGACTTTTTTGTGCACCAGCTTCAGTAAACAATTTGCTATATCGTTCTACCACAAGCAACTTGTTTTATTCTAAACTAATCTATATACTTAGTATACTGATATAATGATTTAAGATTGTTTTATCAAATAAATACATTTTCAAATAGATTTATATCAATTACAATAATACACTGTATCTTTTGTGTTTTTTTCTTTGTATTTAATTCTGTGAAATTTGCATATAACCTTATATAACCTTACATTTTTTAAATGTATCAAATCAGATGTTATGATTAAGATTTAATAAATATAGAGGGCATTTTGGAAAGTGCTCTATTGCTGCTCTAAATAATGAGGTGCATGCAATACTGCATAATTATGGGTGTTCTATGAAGCATTTGTATATAAACTGATAACTCCTAAAGATGCCTTTTATATAAAAAGATAGAATTACATTTGTTTATTTATTAATTTTATACACTTAAATATACTTTCTGTGTATTGTATAGTCTTGTTTTGCATTTAGAGATCAGAGGTATTTCATAAAGTTCGACTTTAGAACTTTAAAGACATCTGCAAAAAATGCTTTTGAAATAATTAAAGAAAAGTTTCACTTTACAGACACATTGCAGAAGTGTTATGATGTAGACAGATGCTAAATATGATACGATATTTAAAAGACCCAAAACGGACTATTGATGTTGAAAGCACTTGGAAATGTAAATCATGGCGAAACATGAAATTCCAAACCAGTTGGTGGCGCTGATGCACACCATAAAGATTTTATTACTGATAAACTACATATGAAGAAGAAGAAGAAGGGCTGTCTTTGCTGCGCCTGTCAGAAATTCTAAATCAACCGTGGGTCCTTCAGGCACCAAACTAACCGCTCCCTTCTCTGTTCTGATTGGTCATCTCCCATCTTCCTTAATTAAACCAGACAAATAGCGTCAGGCTGAGTCTTGTCGCAAGGAGAACGAGTCTTAATTGTTTGTTCCTTTAAAAAATCGCAGCAATGTCTGAGGATCGCTCTGAAAGAACCGATGGAAAAATTGTAAAAATGGAGGTTGACTACAGTTCCACTGTAGATCAGCGGCTTCCGGAGTGCGAAAAAATGGCTAAAGTAAGTTATCTGTGAAGGGAAGGCCAGCGCTGGCTGAGTCATGGTGGATTCCGATCACTGCGTTAGCACTCAAGCTAACACACAATATCCTCCCGTATTTGAGTAAATGTAATTTGGCACAGACTGTTTGACCCGTGTGCCCAAATAATTATTACATTTTGTACCCATTAAATATAACTCACCTCCGTTTCTCTCAAACTACGGAGTTTGTTGTTTACTGAATGCTAACCCTATTGAGCACTCAGGTTAGCTTAGTGTGCGGGCAGCTAATAAACAGCTTATTATATGGTTCTATAATGCAAAGGAAGCGCGGTGTTCATGAAAAAAAAAAAAAAATGTTTCGTTATTGTGTTTTTTCTACAGGAAGGGAAGTTACAAGAAGCTGTCGAGAGCTTGTTGTCGCTGGAGAAACAGACCAGAACAGTAAGTGAAAGCATGCGAAGTAATACTGGTGGACAGCCGCAGTCAAGTTGGGTATTTGACAGACATTCCCTAAGTTTAAACCCTTTGCTTGCTCCGATAAAACATGTTCTTCGCTCCGGCTACACTGCGGTCGGATAAACCGCTACAATACTTCTATGGCACACTTTTTACACACCTTACGGTAAAAAAAAAAAGAAAAAGCGAAGGGGAAAACGTCTGCAGCTTATTCCGACTTCCTGTTTTCAAAGTAAAAGTAAATTAAAATGTTCATATTTAATCTGTATTAAAAATACAGATCTCAAATACAAAAATAAAATGTGTATCTAATGAACCAAGTGGAGTATTGTGACCTCACACTGATGCTAAGATGACATATGACATTCATCTCCCAGTGTAGAAATTCACTTTAGACATCAGTTCTAATAAGCCAAAATTATATGTGTGTGTATATATGTGTATATATATATATATATATATATATATATATTAGGGGTGTAAATAATAATCGTTTTGTATCCATCCAACAGCCGACGAGCCGACGCATCGATACGTCCACAGGAGTATCGTTTCATGTTTTTTTTGTTTTTTTTCCCTCCGGGTCTATTTTTATCCATTTGCTCCTGGATTCTGACTCCAGTGCTGTGGTGGCGCTAAACATATTTTGCCCTCCTACCTCGCTTCCTTTAGCCACTACCCTTCTTTCCGTTTACAGTATTTTTTGATGCAAGTCCTTTCAGAATCTATAACACAGAAGCGTTATTTTTCAGTTAATGGGGATTTCATAGGCCTAGGTGGAGTACAACTTTGCTACTTCTGGTATTTGATGTTGTTTCTCAAATAAAATGAATAACGATATTACAGCTTTCATTGATTTCCTATCAAATTTGAATAATTATCTAGCCTGTAAGGTAAAAGAAAAAAATTAATAGGTGTGATTTACACACCTAATTTATATATATATATATATATATATATATATATATACACACACACACACGAGCGTGTAAACAATAGCGATGTATTGTATCTTATATACAGTAAAGTGATTATATGTACATTGAGGTTTGATCGTTGGAGTGCAAATACACTATTGGGACAAAGTGTAAACAGTGTATTTGCAGGTTTAGTAAATAAATGCAGTCTCTTATTGTACAACATTATTGTACAGTAATTATTTCTAAGGCTGCAACTAAGGCCCCAGTTATTACACAAGGTTATTTCACAGTAGTATTATAGAACAGCGGTGAACAGCCTGCGGTAGCGCTCCTTTATTAGACACAGGGATGTACAAGTCTTCCACTAAAGGAGCTGCTCAGCTCCTTTACAGTCTGGTGCAGGGGGTGAACGCCGTTGTCTGGCAGGGATTGGAGCCTCCTACCGGCCACCTCCTCCACAGAGTCCAGAGCATAGCCCAAAACAGAAATGGTCCTCTTGGGCTCCTCTCCCTTCCTCAGTCAGTAAATAAACCCTCCTGCTGCGTGTATTGCTGCATTTTCATTTCTTTAGATGTAGCTCCCTTTATGTTTTAATGTAGGCATATTAAAATTGAGTGGCTAAAGAAAGTGAGTAGTGAGGCTCTGCCATGAACATCTGATGGAGCTTTGGAGGTGTTCTAGGCACGTCACAGTGGGAAAGGCTCAGGAGATGCTGTAGGGACTATGTCTGTAGGCCTGGGAGCGCATCTGGCTTCTCCCAGCAGAACTGGAAGGTGTCTGGGGAAAGGGAAACCTGGGAGTCTATATTTAGACTGCTGCCCCAGCGGCGTTTTCTCAGATGAAGTGGAAGGCGACCAGTATAAGTATTTAATAGGGATCATAATACTTCATTGGCTTCATGATATACATATGTTAGTTTGGTTTTTAAAATCTGGTCATAAATTAATTTTTATATATAATTGTTAGCATTTTGCTTAATAGCTTTTAGGTCATGTGATCAATTGACTCAAAATCAGTGTGGATCATAGTTCTCCACTGGCTCAAAAGTAATGCCTTTTAAATTCCATATCAAATCTTGAATTATTTCTTATTAATTTTCATATAAACATATTAGCATTTTGCTCAAACAATTCTTGGTCATGTGTGTCAGTGTCTGGTCATAATACTTCATTGGCATCAACGTTGCAGCTTTTATTTTTGGATTTCAAATCTCTAAATATTTTTAATTATACCGTTTAAGCTTGATAGCTTCTCAGCTTCAATAAGTACACTTTTATTTTGAAGACAGGAAGTCAGTAGACACTGTAAGCCCTTCTGCTTTTTTATTTTAATGTCTGTAATACGGGTACACTTGAACTACTGGAGCAGCTTTTTCAGATTTCAGTGTATCTGGACCAAAGAAGAGGTTAAACCAAACTATAATTATATTCACCTTGACTATAATTTGTCAAGGTGACACACTTGTCTAGTACTTGGAGTGTCATCTTTACAAATTATAAACGTTCAAAATATTTAAAAGAACCACAAAATTGTTGCTTCTAAGAAATGTGAGACTTTGTAGATGAGAAACGGATTAAAAATATCCTTTATCATCCCTCAGTGGGGTAATTCAGGTTTAACTGTATTTTATGAAACTATGTAGCTGGTGTTGTGTTGGCATGATGCCGGGCCAACATGGTGGACTGCTCCTGTTCAAAACTATCACATAACTGTGTTGTTTACTGATCAGTACTGTCAAATTCATTAACTGTCTGTCAAATATGTTTAAAAGCTTTATTATTTTAGTTTTTCTGTCAAATTTATTTTTTCTGAAATAAGTATGGTTACACTGTAAAATGGAGACTTTTTAGACCAAATCTCATTCTCTTAGCAGCAGTGAACGTGCCTTCAGATGATGTCTGTTGTGAATTGGCGCTATGTAAATGAAACGACCCGAAGTACAAGGTCCTGATTACAAGTGGCTGAAAGTAGCTTCCTTTATGCCTGGGCACTCCCTTAGACACAGGCTGAGGAGCTCAGCCATCCAGGAGAGATGCTCCTCTTCTACATGGAGACGAGTCAGCTGAGGTGTTTCAAACATTTGTTCATGACAGTGCCCACTAGGAGGAGTCCCTATCTGGACAGGATCCTTTGGGGTCTTTGAAAATAAGGAGATAGGAAGAGTTTTGACTGTGAATTCAAACAGGTCCAACCTTCCCTGGCTTTTACTGCCTGTACGCTCTGTCGCCTAGCAACCATGAGAGTTGACACACAAAGCAGGCAAAGAATGTTTAACATTTTAAAGGAGCTTCAACAGCAGCACCATATCAGATTTATATTTTATACAGACCTATTAAAATCTTTCCTTAAATGTCAGCCCAACCCATTTACACAGTGACAGATAAAAACATTTCAATAAACTAAACCGGAGGGCTTCAACGGGGTCCGTGACCCCAGGGGGGTCCACAGAGGTACTAAATGGGGGTTGCAAAAGTTTTGGTCGATTTATATTGTTTTTTTTTTTTATTATTATTATTCCTCGCTGCAATTTTTTCCACTAATTGAAATGTCTTTAAATACTCATTAACATGAATTCAACACACTGTAGTAAACAGATAAATGGAGGCAGAAGATATCTTTCAGTCATCAGTGCACACATTGGTGGGCCCCGTTTCATTCAAAACACCTGTCCCATCAACGACTAATCAGATCCAAAAATACTTTAATAATCCCAGGATTATTAAAGTATTGCATGGTGGCATGTAACTTTCCTTACATGACTCCATCTGCAATAGAGTAACTATAGAAACAGTTTGATATAACACAGTTTCATACAATATATAGAATTAGGAGGTCCCCGCTCCATCTAGCCATCAGTTTGGGAGTTTTTGGCCTGGAAAACATTAAAGACCCCTGAATTAAGCATTACCCACCACATGTCTAACACAGTAACCATTTAAAACAACTATTTTCATTCATTTCAGAAGGAACTATTCACATACTTGCATTATAATAAACTGCACTACCAATATTGACCTCTGTTTGGCTCCAAGTACCTTTTTCCTTTGAGCATGGAGCAGCTGGCTTGCTTGGGCTCGCAATGAATCCTGGGATATCCAAGGCTACGTAGGATACATCAGACCCATCCTTGAAATTGGGCAAAAAGAAGGACGCATTTGTCTGCCAAAGACTTTGGCGCCGCGCTATAACGGTAATCGGCCGACGAATCTGGCCTTCGGACTCGATTCCTGTCTCTCGGGCATCCCTGGAGCCCTTAGTAGGAGTTGGAGGAAAGTCTGGAAGACGCTTTGACTGCTTTTCTAACTCAGTTCTGTATAAAGCTGTTGACAGTACAAGTTTATAAACTGCACTGAATTCAATAGAATCTGTCCTGAACAACAACAATCTATCCAACTACTAGGCAACACCTCCTTGCATCCACTTTATAACTCTGTGTTTTATTTTCTTAATGAAAATAAACACTTTCAAACACACTAATTCCTTTTGGAAACAAAGGCTAATTTTAGGTTAAAATTTGGCTGTTTTGTTTACAGCAAATCTGGAACATTGTGTCCCATCTCATTAAGTTTTCAAAATATTTGACACTTTAAGGCTGGTAACCAAGTGATGCTTAATATAAACAAGATGCCGTAATTACCAAAAAACATTCAAGCCACCTGAAGTCAGGACTATAATGCTGCTTGATCAAGGTGAGAAATATAAGTTTGTTTCTGCATTATTGATGAGAAGGCTCTGGTTGAACTTGTTACAGGCGTCAGATATGGTGTCCACATCCAGAATCCTGGTGGCCGTGGTGCAGATGTGCTATGAGGCGAAGGACTGGGACGCTCTGAATGAAAACATCATGTTACTGACTAAAAGGAGGAGTCAGCTCAAACAGGTCAGGAATCTCTTCAACCTCACTGCTGTTTCCTTCCAATTGTCTTCCAAACAAAATAAGCTTGAAAACTGAATCAATGAAAAAAAGAATGATGCAAGTTTTAATTAAGTTATTTGTTCTTGATAGAATATTATTAGAAAGACCTGATAAACAGTTTTTTGATATAGCCATGTTTTCTGTTGTAAGGATATACAATTTAACAAGCAGTTTTCTTTTTTCCGAGTGTCGCCTAAACATCTTCCCTGATCTCCTCTCCATCTTAGGCTGTGGCCAAAATGGTGCAAGAATGCTACAAGTACGTGGATGCAGTGACTGACCTGAGCATCAAGCTGAGGCTTATTGACACTCTTCGCACTGTGACTGCTGGCAAGGTCTGACGATAGTTTCCTCATTGAAGAGAAAACATCTGGATGTAGAGAGGGATGATTGATTGATTTATTTAACAGGGACAGTGTACATTCATAAGCATTCCTGCAAATGCACCAGATTCAGCCAAAAGGCTATTTTTCATCTGTTGTCCATGTTGTTGTTGACAGATCTTAAAATTGTGTACCTATAAACACAACACTAAGAATTTTACAATAAAGAATACAAATATAAAAACCAAAATTTAAACACTAGAGATTAACCAAATTTATCAAACATCTAGATCCTGATTGTTTGTCTTTGTTAAATTTCTAATGTCTTTCTTTCCAAATGATTCCACTGAGAAACTTCAACATCGCTTCTCTAAGAGAGGCCTGGATTATATATAGATTATATTTATAGATGTTTCTAAAATGATTTTATTCATTTTCATTATGGTTCCCTTATTTTTGTTATTTTATAGATCTACTTTACAACTGAATTTCTAAAATGGAGTAAGTCTTTACTCTGGTTACTAAATGAGGAAGTGCAGTATTTTGAAAACCTAGCTTCATAATTTATTTCAAAGATGTTATTTCCTACACCACTGAGTCAAAATGGCTGCCAGCTTCTTGTCTCGACTTTCTTTCCACTTCTGATTTCGCCACAGCCTAAAACGCCTGGGGTAAATAATGAAGACATGGACATAGAAAACATACTAAGAAGAAACCTTTGTTTTTTATTTTAAGCTGTAGTAGATAATAATTCAAACCATTAGTGATCCACAGGTCATTAATAATTGATTTAGATGAGGGAAATAATTTAAATTGCTTATCAGTTTAATAGAAATAACTAGTAACAGAATGGTTTGAATGTTCAAAATACTGCGCTACCTTCAAAGAGAGACCAGGAGAGGAAACATTTCAGGAACAGCCTCATTTAATTTCTAAATGAATTTTAGAAATTTTTTGTTTTTTTCCCGGGAGGTAATGACGTGTTTAGTTTCTACATCATAGCTTTATTTTTTTTTCGCTGTTAGAAATATTTCCAAACAGCTCATTTTCTCTCTGACGCTCAGTGGCAACAGGTGGGGGAAGGGCGATCCAATCACTGCTCAGTTTGACTGGTTCTGTGCTATGATTCTTTTACTCTCTGGTGTGATGTCTGCACTGCGTAATGCTTTAAATTGTCGTAATAGATCTACGTAGAGATCGAGCGTGCCAGGCTAACAAAGACGCTGGCGAACATCAAAGAGCAGAGTGGGGACGTCAAAGAGGCTGCTGCCATTCTGCAGGAGCTGCAGGTGAGGAACAATTCTACCTTTTTAATGGGAGAAAATGTACAGAAAGCGTTACTGAACATGACGTGTCTGTGCATGAAGGAATTCAGACCAAACTACTGAGATTTTATGTTTTTTGGGTTTTGTTTTTTTTTTTGCTACCTAGGTGGAGACGTATGGCTCGATGGAGAAGAAGGAAAAGGTGGAGTTTATCCTGGAACAGATGAGGCTCTGCATCGCTGTCAAAGATTACATCCGCACCCAGATCATCAGCAAGAAGATAAACACCAAGTTCTTTCAGGAGGAAGGGAGTGAGGTAAGAGATGACATCAGTTTCTCTTTTCATGGAAACACTTCAGAAGCTTTTCTTCATTTACCTCATTTTTGTCCTTTTGCCTTCCTAGGAGCTGAAGTTGAAGTATTATGACCTGATGATTCAGGTGGACCAGCACGAGGGGTCCTACCTGTCGATTTGTAAGCACTACAAGGCCATTTATGACACCCCCTGCATCCTGGAGGATAGCAGCAAGTGGCAGCAGGTACAGACTGGATGTTTTAAGGCAGATTGTTGTTTCTGAGGGGAATTTGTTTTGCACTTTAACTTAGAAAGAATATTGAATTTGTTTGTTTTCTTGGAAAATATGCTGATGAAGATTCTCAGTCATCCAGGTCATAGTCATTCCGTAAATTTGCATGTTTCCAAGCAATACAATAAGACTCAAACTCACTGCGGATCCAGACATTTGAATTGAGAAAGCTTCCTGGAGAGGTGGCGGAACGTCTTCAAATCTTGGAAACCAAGTCCAGTGGATTTTCTTGGAAAGTTTAAGCAGGAGCGTCTTGACAGAATTATGTTTTATGAGAATGTGGCAAATTAACATAAAAATCAACTCATCCTAGATTAAAAATGGGTCATTTTATATTGATGGCTCTGACTGAATCAGAGCTGGCTTTGCACATCTACTTCATATAAAGCAAGAAAGCCAATGCTGCGGTCAGATAACTCTAGTTTCTGCCGATGCTACAAACTTCAATCTGGGTTTTGTTTTTGTATTTTTTTTTTTTCTTTTTTATTCCCTGCCTGGAAGGAAACGTTTTTTTTTTTGTTTTTTTAACAAATCTTTATTACATTTTTCAACTTATACAGGCAACAAAAACCCAACACAGTGAAAGACAGGAAAAATAAAAAAGTAAGTCAATAAATAAAACAAAATCAGGAAAACCTGTAACAATATGTTAAAAAAAGAATAATAGAGTACGGATAGTACAGAAAGATAAAACAAAAAAAAAATGTGACAACATTAAAGCTCATATTAATTAATCTGAAATTAAAAGGATACATAAGCAGAGATCCAGGCATTAGTGTGACTATAATAATTGGTTGAATACACACTCAAGTATGGTCCTCTCCAGGAATCTTAGACCATATAAGTCCATAGAGTCCCTTCTGTATAGTCCGTGCACTCTATGCCAATGTAATCTAAGAATGGATCCCATGTTTTGTGAAATAGGAAGAAAACTATTAAAAGCATTTTTGGTTGCAGGCCCTGAAGAGCGTGGTGCTGTACGTCATCCTGTCCCCTTATGACAACGAACAGTCAGACCTTGTCCACAGAATCAGCGCTGACAAGAAACTGGAAGAAATCCCTAAATACAAGTAAGACGATCTTAGGCGTCCCATTTCCTTTTGACTCCATTTTAAATCCATACAGCTCTGAGGCTAAGAGTCAAAAGTTTGATTTAGATTTTATTGGCTGGAAAATAATGCTGGAGGTGTGGTTTCATGTTATCCATCCTGTATTCCCAGGGACCTTCTGAAGCAGTTTACCACTATGGAGCTTATGCGCTGGGCCGCCTTGGTGGAGGATTATGGGAAGGAGCTGAGGGAAGGCTCGACTGACAGCCCGGCAACAGACGTCTTCTCATATTCAGAGGATGGAGAAAAAAGGTGGAAGGACCTTAAGAACAGAGTGGTGGAACATGTAAGTCACACAGGAGTCCATCCAAAAACTTGTGCAGTTACACCTAATAAGTACTTTTTCTATGTTGAGTTTTATTGCGTTTCCAGTATTATGAGCACTTGTTTTTCCCCTTCAATCTGAGGGCCCAACCATCACCTATCATGTTACATACAGACATAGTTCAGGAGCTGCAGGGATGGGTATATGTTGACATAGGGCAGCTATAAGGAACAAGTTTTTCTTTTTTTCTGTTGCAGAATAATTGATAAAATCAAGCTAAATAAGCTGGATGGTCTGCAGGCGGACCCATAGAAATTATGTTTCTATCATCCATGCAGAACTAATTAGTAAAACTCGGACTCCCCAAAAAAATTTGGGATAAAGGAAATCTGAAAATAAAGAAATAAATGAAATCTGAAAAATACTTAGAAAAATAATTGGGGAAAAAAAATGAAAAGAGAAAAAAAAGGCAAGCTGTAAAAATATTAGTTGAACTTCTGCATACACAAACTTTTTTTTTTTAGAAATTTAATGTCCCATTGTTTAAAAAGTATTTTCTTCAAATGTCCTTTATTTTATGTTTTGTTTTAAACATGTTATCTGCTTTCAATAATATCAGAGATTTCTCTCCATATTAAACGGTAGAGAGAATTAGAAGAAATGAAACCCGTCGTATGAGCTCCCACATCTTTGCTGCAATACTCTAAACATACATCTCTGGATGTTAGTGTGGATTTTAGCTTGTAATGCTACTAATTACGCTACTTTTCATCCCACAGAACATTAGAATAATGGCCAAATATTACACCAGAATCACAATGAAAAGGATGGCTGGACTGCTTGACCTCTCTGTGGATGTAAGGAAACATTTCAGCAATCTGTTCCAACTAAAGCTTATCAAAAAAAGCAACTTTATCGTCTGATGTTCAGAATCTGGGCTTTTAGTAACTCTACTAATAATGCATTGCTTGAAACACTTTTCCAGGAATCAGAGGAGTTTCTATCCAGCCTAGTTGTAAACAAGACCATCTACGCCAAGGTGGACCGGCTCGCTGGCATCATCAACTTTCAGAGGCCCAAAGATCCCAACGACCTGCTGAACGACTGGTCGCAGAAGCTCAACTCCCTCATGTCCCTGGTTAACAAGACCACGCATCTCATCGCTAAGGAGGAGATGATCCACAACTTGCAGTGACACAAGAACAGTTTATTTTATTTTTTGGTTTCATATTTACTTTTGTTTATGTGCAAGAGGTTGTTTGTTTAAAAAAAAAAAAAACACTGTGGCCTAATTGCAGGATCATATGTTTGGAAAACATCTTCTAAACACACATGCCTCTTTTCTTTTTTTATTGTCTCATAGAACATGACATGACAATAAAGATACAACTAAAATTATTCCTTGCATTTTCGTCTTTAATTTAGCTTGATTTAACATTTATTCTTTGCTGCCAATACAACTTTAAAGGTATTGTCTAGGATGTTCTTTTTCCAGGTGGAGCATCTAAATAAGTCAATCAATCATTCTGCTGATATGTTTACGTAAAGCCGTCCTACGTGTTTGTCCCCATTTTCACTTACCGGTGGTGAGTCTGACATAGTGGAAAAATTGCAAATCTTCCTTTGGGAAGTAAGCAAGTATGAGCCATGCAAGCAGCAACTTTTAAACGGAGCGTGCACGAGGAGAAATGGGCTCTAGCACACGTTTAATAGTTACCTTTCGAAAGAGCGTACAGGATTGCATGTGTACATTTTTTTTAAACTGGAGAGGGCGGGTCTATTCATGAATTAGGGAAAATTGTCCACTATATCTTTACAAACACTATTAAAAGACGACCTGTTTTTTGGGGGGTTTTTGTTTGTGTAAAAAAAATATTTACTCTTTTTTTTTTTTTTTTTTTTTCTTCAATAGACTGAGAAATTTAAATAAACTATTACTGCTTAAAAAAAAAATCTGAAAAAATCCTAATGTTTTGTGGTTTTTATAGACTTCAGAAAAATACATTCATAAGATCTGAGTAAAAAGGAGGCATATCGATGATGTAAGCACAGGGGTGGCAGCATCATGATGTTTGGGTGTTTAGTTTTAGGAAGGACTACTGTGCTTCACAAAATAGCATCTGGATAAAAAGGATAATGTACGAGATGCTTCCAAACTGCGTTTCAATATGAGCCAGGATGTCAAAGCATGGTAGCAAATGGGACCGCCGAATTAGTTAAACAGTGGTTGCTATCATAAAGTCTCATGACCATAGCCAATCAAGAAGACCTAAGAATCAGCCTCCATCACAGCATGTCGGGAAGAAGGGACCAAAAGCTGAGCTTGAGGAGCAAAACCCAGAATATTTGACCAAAGTCAAACATTTCAAGCTTCTAAAAACAAACTTATATTAAAAAGTTTCACAATTTATGTTTCCAACTAAATCCGTAAGTGAAAATTAGTTTACTTTATCTACTGCTATGTTTGACAGTTTTAGTAGCTACATTGTGATAAGATCTAGATAACATGATGGTAAAACATGCCTTGACACGAAATATCTCCTGCCTCGGGGTGGATTCCATACATATATAAGATTATGACGTATGAAGAAAGAGAATCAGAGGTCACCATGCAAACGATCATTCCTCCAATTTTCCAAGATGGTTTAGAATAGAATAGAATAGAATTCATCTCTATTGTCATTAAACTGTCACAAGTACAAAGCAAGGAAATTTAGTTTGCAGCTATCCAGAAGTGCTATACAGGCTATAAATATTTACATGTACACAGAAAGTATGTATCGGCTATAAACAGAGAGTAAATTTGAAAACTATATACAGATAATACAGGAAAGTTAGGATATGGATTATATATATATATATATATATATATATATATATATATATATTTTTTTTTTTTAGTGAGGTTATAATACAGGTTAAATAATGACATATATATATATATATATATATATTTTTTAGTGAGGTTATAATACAGGTTAAATAATGACAGTAGAAGATAAAATATTGTGTGTTTACATAAAGATGTAAAAATCGCCTAAAATCTAATATATTAAAAAAAAGGTAAAAAGATATAATATTGGTATGAATGTCTAAATGTCTTTCTTATCGTTTTTAATTAGTAACCATGATTGGTTTGGTGTCATCATCTACAGTTACATCTCAACTCATTGATAAATGATCAAAAACTACAATTAATTGGGAAAGTGTGTTTAAAAGTGAAAAACCTTCTACACTGGTTAATTCGCTACACAGGCCGTGATATTTTTCAAATTCTGATGTCTTCATATTGATAAATTTGGTGTGAGGCTTCCCTGCGATAGACTGGTGACCTGTCCAGGGTGTACCCCACCTTTTTGGCACCAACTCTAATTTTAGCCTGATTGATAAACAGAAGAAGATGGATGTTTCAAACCTAATGTAAAAACAAAATTACCAGTTTCCTAGTAAACTAAAAATGTTTTGTTCTACCAGTCTGAGATGATGAACTTTATAATCTAAGGTCCAAATTGTCATCCAGGTCCACGTTCTGAACATGCACTCAATATATTGGTGCCTTTTAGCATGTATTACTGAAACAGGATAGTGTGACAGGTGATCAGCCTGTAACCTGTTTCTTGTCACAATAAACCACTTACCGTCTATGAGATTTCAGTATTGCTTTTAGTTTATGCCTCAAAATCCTCTAAAGCTGCTTATTGTCCAATCCAGCTCCCATAGTTGCTTGTGCACCTTTTTACCACCAGCACTTTTTCCTTCCACCAAACTTTCCATGAAAAAAAAAATCCCCCTATGACCAGCCAGCTTCTTTTTCACTAGTCCTTTGTTGCTGTGTGTGCCAGCCAGATGCCCCCCCTACGTCTGCCATCTTTTTTATGGCAGTGCGCACCACCACATTCAGAATCAATTTCAGTTTTTTTCTCAGAATTATGACTTTAATCACAGAATTCTAAATGAATTCACACTTTATTCTCAGAATTCTGACTTTAATCTCAGAATTCAGACTTTTTTTTCCCTCAGAATTCTGACTTTTTCTCCCAGTTCTGACATTAATCTCAGAATTATGACTTTTTTCTCAGAATTATGACTTTAATTTCAGAATTCTAAATGAATTCTCACTTTAATCTCAGAATTCTGACATTTTTCCCCCCCAATTTTGACTTAAATCACAAAATTTTGACTTTAATCTCAGAATTCTGACAGCTAACAAACATCAAGCCGTAGCCATGTCTGTTTTGAAAACTAAACTAGCTGTCTTGTTTTAATCACCTTCTGCTCTTTAATTAATGAAATAGCATTACCAGGGACCCCTCTGGCACTAAAATGTTGCCCTATTTCCTTAATTTTCCACCAATGTGTTACTGGCCTTCCCAAACAACTCAAATCTTTGTCAGTGAAGCTGAGTGCTGCCACATCTCTTCCTTCAGGGTGCCCATGGTAAATGGTACTTATACCTTTTTTCAAGTCAGGAGACTTGATCAAAGTGCTTTACACTACGTTCAGTCATTCACTCCACACACTCACACACTGATGGTGGCAAGCTACATTGTAGCCACAGCTGCCCTGGGGCTCACTGACAGAAGCCGGGCTGCAGTACATTGGTGCCACCGGCCCCTCTGACCACCATCAGTAGACAATACAGGTGAAGTGTCTTGCCCAAGGACACAACGACACTGAAAGTCGGAGCCGGGGCTTGAACCGTCAATACTTTGATTTCAGGGCAAACCCCAAATCCAACGCAACTGTCACCCTACATTAAGATCCAAAATTCTGAGATAAAGTCAGAAATCTGAGATTACAGTCAGAATTCTAAGATAAAGTCAGAAATCTGAGATTACAGTCAGAATTCTAAGATAAAGTCAGAATTCTGAGATAAAGTTAGAATTCTGAGATTACAGTCAGAATTCTGAGATTACAGTCAGAATTCTAAGATAAAGTCAGAATTCTGAGATAAAGTTAGAATTCTGAGATTACAGTCAGAATTCTGAGATTACAGTCAGAATTCTAAGATAAAGTCAGAATTCTG